AAACCATACTAAGTGTCTTCATCAGTGACCCACAAAAGATTTTATATATATCTATATATAATCTTTCTCACCCTCTATATACATAGAGAGCATGCTATATATAAAAAATCATATATATATATATATATAAACTTTCACTTCCATTTACTTTAATCCTTTAGAGTTACATGGTACTTTTATATCCACTGTCTTACTGAGCCTTATACCTGGTAGGCATCATTATCTCCATTAAAAAAAACCCAACTCTATTTTTTGTTATTCTGAACTTGACAAACACCAACAAACGCAGACATTTCCATATGCAAGAACAGAAAAGGAGAATTGTAAATGAAAAGGTAAATTTCTACTATTTAGCTTGTTCTTTTTAAAGTATAAATAAATTCATCATGTTCATTTCAAAGCTGTCCTTTTGCTTATGTCTCCCTTTGAACTTCCTTCTCTGCTGTTCTGTGCATTTTTTCCCCCCTGGAGAACACTCTTTATTTTGCTGCACGCAGGACTGACTCACAGCGGCCTATGGACAATCGGTATTAATCCTTGCCTTTTTAGTGAATCCCACCACCCTAAGGACCCACAAGGGCTTTCAGTCAGTGCTACTCTAAGCCTCTGGACTTCCCTAGAAGGGAAACAAACCTGGGGCTGATGGAAACAGGCAACCTGTCACATTCTGGTAAGTCCATCTTCCACCCCCACCAGGAGACTATAGAACCCTGCAATCTTCTAATACTATCCTAGTTGTCTGGGCTCCCTTCACCATCTGTGCATTTCAAAAAATATGCCTCAATGACCCTCTTTTCTTTCTTCTTCTGTTTTGGCTTCACTATTATTATTATTCCCTAATTTCTCTTTAAATCCCTTTCCCCCCAAAATTGAAAAAAGAAACATTCTCCTCATTGAAGAAAATGAAGTTATGAAAAGTGAAAGTCCTTGCTTGAGGTCACAGAGCAGGGCAATGACAGGACAAGGGCTTGGCTTTGAACTGAAGCCCTTCCAGGCCTCTGTCCCATTATTCTTTGCCTGACAGTCTCCTACAGTGACCATGCTTAGCAGTCTCAGGAAGCATGACTTTAAAGTTAATCATGCCTTCCAATTTCCTTCCTGTTCTTGTTTCACTAGCATGAGATGCAGCCCACCTTCATGAGATGGGTTTCTCGCATTTAAATCGAATGCAGGCAGGGTCTTGGGGTGTCTGGCTGCTACTTTGCTAGCTATCCGGAAGGATAACTGAACAAAAAACTGGGGCACGGCCTGATCCTATGATTGCTCCATTCAAGTTGTCTCTCCATTAAAATGATGTATTAGTCTTGCCATCAGCTGCCAGGCAGAAAGAGAAGGAACCAGAAGGGAAAGCTTATCCCTAGGCTGAAACCTTAAAGGAAGACTTTTTGCTGGAGAGGAAAAAATGTAGATCAACAAATTCTGGGGTAATCTGGACAGGGCCAGCTGACATACAGCTGCCTCCAAACTTTCAAAATGGGAAAGTTAAGTTTCCTGCCATTTTCTCCCTAATTAAAGCTTGGCATAATGATAAAGCAACTGATTGAAAGTCTTGAAAAGCAAACGTCCTCGGTCTTCATTAATTCTGCCTCAGATCTTTCCAGCAGCATGGAAAAAATAGCTAATGAGGACTCATTAGAATAACCTTTGGCCGGAGAAATCATTGGTGTGCATCGGGTAACCACTGAATATTTCACCACTGTTAAATATTTCACCTACGACCTGTATGATGGGTTTTAGTTCTTTGATATGTCGGAGATTCTTTTGATAAGGATGCAATTTCTTAAACTTTGGCAGTGCTGGGCAGATCACAGATAGCTTGCTGTGAAATGACAAGGCAGGGTGGTTTTAATAACCCTAAATAACTTATAAAATGGACTGGGGAATTTGGAAAGCAGTGCACCAACACTCCTGGGACCTGCTGGCCTCGAGACTGGGCAGAACAATCCGCCATTTTTTTTTTTTACTCTTACCTTTGGGAATCTGCATGTCTGGAGTTACCGCAGATGCTGCTAGGAGATTTTCCTTTCTAAATAACCATGATCTAAGGCTAAACGGAAGACTGCAGGCTGGAGATATTTAGGTCTAACTGGCCCATTGTGTAGACTCAGTAAATCTTAAACAACCATACCAGGTATTGACAGAACAGACCAGGAGGGGTAGGCATGCAGAGAGTGGCCATCTTTCTCTAGGTTCCAGCAGTGAGTGGCCACAATTATTAGGAACGCCAGTTTCTACCTTATGCTACTAATCTTCTCTGGACCACTAAGGATTCATGATCTCCTTGAAACCTAGCCATGCCATCATGAACAAGCAGCCTTGATGATCCCTGCTCCCCAGGCAGTGATGTGAATAATAGTACCTCACCTCTGTCTAGCACAAAGATTCTTAACCTGGGGTCCCTGAGTTTGGTTTTAAAAAATGTTTTGATAACTGCATTTCAATATAATTGGTTTCTTTTGTAATTCTATATGTTTTGTTTTGTGCATTTAAGAATAATAATTTGATGGGGCAGCTAGGTGGTGCAGTGGATAGAGCACCGGCCCTGAAGTCAGGAGGACCTGAGTTCAAATCCGGCCTCAGACCCAACACTTGACACTTACTAGCTGTGTGACCTTGGGCAAGTCACTTAACCCCAATTGCCTAAAAAAAAAAAGCCAAAAAAAAAAGAAGAATAATTTGAGAAGGGGCCCATGAACACTACAAGACTAAGGATAAGGAGCTTTTTATATTTTTCAAAGTTCTCTCTCACTGATTGTCTTACTCAGTAATCTTAAGGTTGGCCTAATGGTTATAGCCAGCAAATCTCCAAGCTGATGTATCAATAACAGTCCGTCTGTTGACCACACAAATCCTCTCCCAGGCTTCTATAAGAGAATTCCGCTTGTGTTACTCTTGCCAGTCATTGGTTAAGAATCGATGAAAAAGTATTTATTAAGTGCTTACTGTATGCCAAGAATAAAAGCTTTAATTAGGCCGATGAAAGTCTTTCTGTTAAATACCCCAACACCCTAGTTAGCTATGGATATTAAAAAAACAAACCTGTCATTTCCTTCAAATCTGAGACCACGGTTTCATGTGGTCTGTAGAGACTCTCAGCCTTGTGGACAAACGAGAAAGGGGCCTTTTGCTCTGAAAAATGATTAACTCTATTTTAAGATTCATCTTGAGTTACGCATATGAATCTAGAAATGATTCTTTTAAAAGGAGAAATGGATTTGCTTTTGAGGAACCTTATTTAATTCACAATTTCAAACCAATTGCATTAATCCCTCCATAAATTCTCTGGTTGACTGCAATATTATGTTATAGAAGATGGACCATCTTAGAGTTTCTTCTGATATTGTTAATGTCTGAGGAACGAAAAAAAAAGAAAAGCAGAGGTTTGCCTGTTTCCCACTTGAAAATAAAGTTTCACAAATGATAGAGCAGGAACTGGCAACTCAAATTTCTGGCCTAAAAACTGATGTGGACCAGGAGCACACCTGCAGGGAAAGGCTCCTACTTTCCATGGGGTGGATTGCTTTTGAAGCAATAATAATAGCATCTCACATCACTTTTGTAGCTTAATAAAGTCTATTCTTCCATGTGAGGTTAGCAGTATGAATCCTGGACTTGGCCTTGGTTCAGATCAATGTGGGAATCTTCTGGTGTGGAAATTCCCTACATTGATGCAAACTGGCCACTTTTCTGGAACTTTTGGGGCTTAGCGGAGTTCCTGGGAGGCAGTGAGATGTGCCATAGGTATGGCATGTGGGTATGTGCCATACTTCTGGCTATATATCTGGTATGCATCAGAGACAGGACTCAAGGCCAGGTCTATCTACCAGGTCATGCTGCCTCTCTGTATTAAGTATTACTGCCTCCATATTGCAGATGAGGAAACTGATGCACAGAGAAATTAAGGGAATTGTCTGTGGTCACACAGAGCGGAGACTTGAACCCAGGTTTGTAAACTGTACATCTGGTGCTCCTGCAATACCAGACTGCCTCACATAAAGTACACAGGCACCAAGAAGCATTGAAGCCCCAGGTCATATTACCTTGATTCCATCCCCAAAGGGCTACTTATGCAAACCCTACAACATCCCATTAGCCATCAAGCAGCAATCACATAGAAGGCATCTACTGTGTCTGAAAATGGTTTCCTTACAGGAATCAAGCAACAAGGAAAAAGAAGAGAAATGATTTCCAGGGTCTTCCCTTTGGCAGCTGTGGGTATGCAAAGCCATATGGGGCATGGTCCATCGTCCCCAGCTTACATTTCATTTAGGGAGGGCTCGGGTGGCAGGCAGGGAAGGGAACATAGAGAGATTTCCAAATCACTGCCTGGACTGTGAGAAATAAGACAGAAGTTCATGAAATACTCACTTGTGAAAAATCAAAGCCTTGTTTGGCTGATATTTGTCTGTGCTAAAGTTTAAGTGGCATTAAACATGGAAACGCTCAAACCCAGGGGGAACAGAATGGTCTAACTCATGCGTTCAGGGATCTAAGATTCATTTCTTTTCATATTTCATTGCGCAATGCACAAAAATGGAACTGATGTTACACTCGTTTAGCTGAAAAGACATCACATATGCCTACTGCCCTTCCCCTGCGCCAGATCTCTCCTACGGAGAGACCAGAACCCAAGTGTCCTGGTCTCTAGTGCCCGGTCACAGAAGTTCAAAGAAAGAGGGAGAAATTAACAGGTGTCTTGATAGCAATTTCCTGTGACTACCCAAGGACCTCATGATAACGGTTAAAGAAAGGAAGAAGAAAATCTCCAGGGATATCCCTTCTGCCTCTGCAGGGAGAGCACAGAACTCGTGGCCGACACCGGGGCTCATTTTTATTCCTCAACAAATTCACCAAGCCCTAAAAATAGCTCATCCCAGCTACACCACAGCATGAGCTGGCCGAGTTGGAAAGAGCAGGGATTTGCAGATTTAAACAATTTGACAAGGAATATGGATGGCAGCTCACCACTCCCCGAAGGGCAGTGTGGCTTCTCCTCATACCTATATTTCATCCCAGGCTGCTTCATGTTGGCGTCGCTGGACGGAGGAACGTTGTGCACGGACAGCTGTCCCAGGCTCCGGGCTACCATGGCCACTGCCCGGAACTTGCTTCTGGTGCCCAGGCTGGGGCTGCCGGCATTCTGCCTGCTGAGCCGGTCTTCGGCACTTCGACCCTTCAGGCTGTGTTCTGAACACACAAAAGACACCTGCATGGTGGCCAACTTTTTCCTTGGGGTTTCTCTCTCTTTTTCCTTCTCGTTTTGTTATCTGTTGGAAGCAGCTTGTCCTCCAGAAGCTGGAATGCAGTTTATTCATGGGGAGGTGAAAAATCCAAAAGGCCATTCAAGGACTGTCAAAGGCAAAGTAGGAAAAAAAAAACCCTCCAAAGCCAGTAGCATCTTTTATTGGCTGAGCTTTCAAAAAGGAAAAATATGAACTATCCAGGAAGGTGTCATAAAATAACTTCTCACTGAAGACCTGCCGGGCCATCTTCTCTTCTCGCTCACATCCTGCCTGCGTCTGGGGAACGCCTCGCCTTCCCCTCCCCTGCCAATCCTTCGGTGAGCTCCCAGACAGTTTTTCAAAGTTTCATCTTGTTCTGTAACTCACCCGAGGATGGGCATCCTCCAAAAGCAGTTTCTTGTAGGCATGAAGCAAAAGGGGGAAAAAAAAATCTCTCAATCTTCCTCACTTCCTTTCGGGGAAGGGAGAAGATCCACTCACAGGTACCGTGTCACAGTGGCTTCCATGCATGATGTAACTTGTACCCAGGAGCCCAGGGGAGGGGCAGATATCTCTGGAGACACGAAGCGGTTGAGAGTGCCCAGGCGTTAGCTCCCTCACTGGTCTTCTCCATGGCTTTTTGGAGGGGGACTGAATGACGACTGTACCACTGAATGCTGCTGAGCCCTCTCCTAAGTCAATTAGGTGACCAGTGAGCTGAGCAGGAAGAGTTTGGCAATCCATTATTAATGAATCAGGGATACTCTGGGCTGTCTCTCCCCCTGACAGAGAACTCGGATGGCGGCCACTTGTTCCAGAGCCTATGTGAGCACACAGCTGCTCTGTGGGCTGTCTGCTGCTCACGGGGAGGGACCCAGTTACGAGGCAAGGTCCAGGGGAAAGGCTCCGGATGGAGGACTCAGCCCGGAGCCACAGATGGTGAAGTCAAAAGGTGGAGCATTTTGGGGAACAAACAAGACAGGCACAAATTATCTCCCCTAAGAGCTTATTCAAATGGTTTTTAGGGGGAAAAAAAAGCAAAACACTTGATGAATTTCTTGCACTTAGCTGGTCTCCTGGAAGGAGATACTATTGGCTGTAGAAGAGATTCAGGCAATATTCAAGCTGGGTCAGAGGCAGTAGCACTGGGTGTTAGTTTGGCGTTCAGGAAGACCTGAGTTCAAATTCCACCTCTCACATTTACTTGCTAAGTGACTGCAGATGAGTCATCTAATTTCTCTCTCAACCGTAGGTAATTCCCTAGGACTCTAAGTTATAGATGAGCTGCAATCTCTCCTGGTGGAGCAAGATTCCACACTGGAAATCCAAGATCTCTGATATACTGACACATACAAGCCTGACTTCAGAACCAAAGCTATGCTTTGGGAGGGGAGACAGGGCAGAGGAGAACAGGGAGAAAGGAAGGAGATTTCTCTGTGGCCAAGTCTGGAGCACTGTGCTAGAGATACCAGACAGTTGTCACTCTAACATTAGGCACGTATCATGTGCCAGGCACTGTGCGAAGTGCTGAAGATATACAAAGACAAAGGAGAATCAATCCCTGTTCTCAAGAGCTAGCTTCCCAGCCAGCTTCAAACTTAGAATTTTCATCTGGAGGTCAGAGCCTTTTTACCCACTTAATGTAGACAGAGTCAAAAAAGCTAAGTTGGGAAAAAGCAGTGACCTGTCTGAATGTTCTTACCACACAAGGTTCTGGGACACAGGTTTGGAAGGATTCTGTATTTTCTGTCCTAAATCAAAGGCCATCTCCTCCAGGAAGCCTCCAGTGATCTCATCCCCATAGTTCTCACAAAGCCCTCTGTTCTGAACCTTTCTAAGGCATCTATTATGCAATATTGTATATTAAGGCTACTTATGTCTGTGTCTGATCCTTCTGACTCAGGGGTTCTTAATGTGGGGTCTATGAACCTTGGTTTCAACTTTTCTTTTATAATAAAATTTCAATATAATTAGTTTCCTTTGTAATCCTATGTATTTTATTTTATGTGTTTAGAAATATTGTTGTGAGAAGGGGACCATAAGCTTCCCCAGACTTCCCGAGGGGTCCATGGCACAAAAAAGGTTGTTAAGAAGCCCTGTTCTAACTAGGAAGTTAATGCATGAGGGCAGGCAGGGACCACATTTTATCAAAACTTTGTGCCTAGCACAGAATGTCATACATTTTAAGTATTTCTGTTGAAGAAATGAATGAATAAATGGTGAAGAAACTCCTGAACCAAATAGAGATTTTCACCACCCTTTTCTCCCTCAGCTTGGGTTCTCTGGTTAACAGCAGGCAGTGTTAGGAGGTGAGGCAAAGGAAGGGTGAAATGCTATAGAATTACTCTCTTCTGTCTCTTCTCATTAAGCTAAGATTTGGAATTCTTCCTTTTCCCCTGAAAGGGCCCTCTCCTTAGGGGGAAAAACCTCAGTCTGGCTTTCTACCCAGACAGCAAATGCTCTCAGAGCTGAGCAGGGAGGGGCTACCTCCTTGCAGTCTGGAATTCTGGTGTGAGACGCCTGAGATCCAGGAAGAAGGAGGTGCTGGTCCTCCTGCTGCCCGCTGCCATCTGCCCTGGTGAGACCACACTGGGGGTGCTGTATTCAGTTCTGGGCCTACAGTTTAGGAAGGACATTGATAGGCTGGGAGAGTACGGGGAGGGGCATCAGGATGATGGAGAGCCTAGGGTTTATGCCATATGAGAATTGGTTAAAAGAATGGAAGGTAATTAGTCTGTCAAAGGGAAGGATCAAGGGAGGATGTTGGAGTCATCCTCTAGTACCTGAAAGGCTATCAAAGTGGGAGAAGAATTGGATGGGTCGCTACATGGTGCAGAGGACCTGGAGTCAGGAAGACCTATTGTGCTTGGCATACAGTAGGTGCTGAATAAATGCTTGTTGCTTGATCGGCAGCTAGGCGGCACAGATGAGTCACGAAGACCTGAATTCAAAACCTGCCTCAGACTCTTCCTAGCTGTGTGACCCTGGGCAAGTCACTCCACCTCTGCCTGTCTCAGTTTCTTCATCCTTAAAATGGGGATAATAAGAGTACCTCCCTTCAAAGGGTTGTTGTGAGGATCAAATGAGATAATATGTGTAATGTATCTTGCAAACCTTAAAGCCTTATTCAAGTGCTAGCTATTATTATTATTTTTATTGTTATCATTATCATCATCATTATTATTTCTGTTATTGGTCCTGGACGGCAGAACCAGGAGCAAGGTGGGGGGGGAGGGAGAGATGCAAAGGGGCAGATTGCCAGGGAACCCTTCCTGATGATTAAAACTATTCCAAAGTGGAATGGGCTGACTTAGAAGGGAAGTTTTTTCCCCCTCTGTGGAGGTCTTCAAGCTGGATGGCCAGTTGCTGGGGGTTTTGGAGAGGGGGCTCTCTTTCAGGCAGGGGTTAGACTGACGGCCCCCGAGGTCAGTTTGGCTCTTTGCTTTTGACCTCTGCTACGTGGCCCTGGGTGGTAGTTCAACAGTCAGGATTTGCCTTGGACCAAATCTTGTAGCAAGTGACCCTTCCTGATACATCTCCTGGCCTCAAGTTTCCCTGCTCTCCAACTCATCCTCACACAGCTGCTGAAATGTGGAGATGGATCGCCATAACTAGAGCAAAGAGGGCCTCGGAAATCACTGAATCCCACCCCTTTAATTCACAGATGAGGAAACTGAGGCTTTTGGGCGAGTGACTCACACAGCTAGCAAGTGCAGGAGTAGGATCTGAACCCAGGTCTTCTTGGCTCTATACTCCCTCTGCTAGGCCAAGAAATTTCCTAATGCTGACTCCCCAGCACCATAAGCTCGCCTGGTTCCCAGTTGACTCCAGAAGCAAATACCAGTTCCTCCATTTGGCATTTAAAGCCCTTCATGAGTGGCTAATCACTCATTTACTTTCCTTCATGGACATTGTGGTCTGGCCAAAGTAGACTGTTCCCCATGGCTGGAGTGCCTTCTCTCCCTACTTCCCAGATCTCAGAATCCCTGGCTTCCTTCAGTTCAGCTCAAGCAGTATCTCTTATATAATGAACTTTTTCTTGATCTCTGCCTCCTTCCCCTCCCCAGTACCTCTCCCTGGTCCCCTCTCCCCCACAGCTGCTCCTTCCCTCTCCCATGAGACTACCCGGTACTTATTCTGTACGTGCATATAGGTATACCTTCCCAATAGAATGTAAGTTCTCTGAGGCCAAGAGCTGTATTATTTTTGTCTTCATATTTCCTGCACTTGGCATATGGCACTAAACCCTTAAATGCTTTTTGATTCAAGATATCTCCCAGCTGTCTTGATACAAGGTGGGGGACTCCATTATGCACTGAGGGATAGTCACTGCCCTGGTCCCTGAAAGCCTCTGCTGACGGGCTCTTCCTCTAACCCTAAGTATAACCATATATGGGCTTCCTGACCTGTATACTCTGAATCTCAGAGCTGAAAGCACAGAATTGTGTGACTTGGAAGCCCCACTTCATCTGACCTGTACTTGAAAAAGCACTGTTCCTATGACCTGCCTGACACTCAGCCCAGGCTTTGTTTGCTGACCTCCAGTGAGGTGGGGGAGTCCACTATCCTCAGACGCAGCCCATTCCTTAGGGAATTATTACCATAACTGTTATTGGGAGTTTCCCCTGATATCAAAGCTACATCTGATACCATGTAACTCCCATCCTATCCTAGTCCTATTCCTTGGCGCCAGCAGACCAAAGCTAAGCCATGTGACAGCCCTTTATATATTTGAGGACAGCCACCATGTCCTCCTTAACCTTCCCCTCTACTAAAGATCCCCAGTTCCATTCTCAAATGGCATGTACCTGAGCCCTTTCTCTGGAGGCTTTCCAGCCTGTCCGTGTACTGCCTTCCTGAAAGGTGAAGCCCAGGACTGAATACAACAATCCAGGTGCAGTGTGATCAGCGGGACAAGCACCTCCTTAGGGGCCCCTAGGTGCACAGTGAATAGAGTGTTAAACTTGGAGTCAGGAGTTTTGGTCACGAGTTTGAATCCTGCCTTAGGCATGTACTAGCTCTGTGACCCTGGGCAAATCACTTAAGTACTCTGTGCCTCAGTTTCCTCATCTACCTCCCAGGGTTGTTGTGAAAATCAAATGCTATGACATATGTAAAGTGCTTTGCAAACTTTAAAGAGCTATGCAAATGCTATCGATGATATAGAGGATGATACCGATGATGATGATGATAATGAAGCTAGGTGGCACAATATATATAGCACTGGCCTCAGAGTCAGGAGGTCCTGATTTTAAATCTGGCCTCTGACACTTATTAGCTGGGGGACCTTGGGCAAGTCACTTCACTTCTGTTTGCCTCAGTTTCCTCATCTGCAAAATGAGGTAATAATAGCAACCACCTCTCAGGGTCGTCACCAGGAGCAAATGGGATATGCGCAAAGCACTTTGCAAACCTTAAAACACTATAAATGCCAGCTATCATTAGTTATTATTATTGTTGTTGTTGAACTTGAAAAATGAAAACTAAAACTATACACAGGCAGGATAGGATTCTTGTGGTTGGTTAAGCCATGAGAAATCCAAAGCTGAACCCATCGCCAGTCACCAATCCACCCTTAGGCTGAGAAATACAAGTGGTCCCAAGATGCTGACTCACCTTGGGGGAACTTCCACTAACGAGGCAGCCC